TTCTTCATTAATAGTCTGACCAGGCTGGGAGTCCTATCTTAGCCCATTCTTTAGTTCAACAGAACAAATTCAGTATTCTGTAACTACTAAATTCAAAGAAGTGAACTAGGAAGGAGCTGTAGCTCAGTTGGCATGCAAAAAGTTTATGTTCAACTTCTGGCATCTCCAGTTAAAGGATCTCAGTGTTGTGTATGCGGACCGCCACTAGGGGTCCGCAGCAAGACAGGAGCTTGGCTCCCCTGGACAATGGGAACATAGGATCCTAGTTCCCCCCAGCTCCAACCAATGGCCACTTTGGCGGGAGATTCAAACCCTCCAATGGACTAGGGCTGTGCTGGGTGGGTGTGTAGCGGCAAGACAGGAGCTTGGCTCCCCTGGACAATGGGAACATAGGATCCTAGTTCCCCCCAGCTCCAACCAATGGCCACTTTGGCGGGAGATTCAAACCCTCCAATGGACTAGGGCTGTGCTGGGTGGGTGTGTATATAGTTGGCCTTGCAGGGCCATTTTAGTTAGTCTTGTGTTAAGTACAATAAACGTGTGCAAGAGCATGTCATCGTCCGAGTCATCCATGCGGCGAACCCAGTACTTTTCACTCAGGAACCCATGTTAGAAAAGACCTTTCTCTGTCTGAGGCACGGACCACCTCTTCCAGTCAGAATAGACAATTCTGAGCTAGGCAGACCAATAGTCTGATTTAGTCACGGACACTTGCAGACGGTCAGTCTATAAAAATTAAAAATGATATGCAAAGATATGCAAAATATATACATATCGTGAAATTCTGCTTTGTTCTTAATGCAGAATTCTGGTTCTTACTCTGTTTTGGTTTTAGTACACCACAGTGCTGCACTAGTTAACATGCCTTCACATGCCCAGGTATCTACAAAACTTAACAAGGGTATCGAAGGGTATCTAAAAACACTGTACCTAGCAGCCCCAACTCTATCTTCAACGTGTTGTTTATCATATTTTACAAACAAACAAAAAACACCCTTGGCCAAGGGAGCAGAAGGAGACAGAGAAAATCCTGCCCAATGAAGGATGGTACATCTTGACACAGCAAACAAATGAAACCCTTCCTCAAAGCCTAATATTTCTATGAAACCTTAAGGACATTTTTTAGATTGCAGGCTCCTCAGAGCAGGAGACCTGTCTTACTCCATTCTGTAAAACACCCTGCATGATTACAGTGCTATACAATAAACATAATAGTAAAGCACAACTGCATCTGCTTTGAGCACAGCTCAGTTTTGATCTAGTGTCTTAAATGTCGGCTGAAATTTGGTCATCAATAATTAAAGCTCAGCTAGAGGTCTACCATCTTAAAGGGCAAAAAGAGGAGAAACAGCTCAAGAATGCCCAAATTCGGTTTTCGTGTGATCAAAAGAGCAGCAGCAGAGAAGATGAAGAGGGACCAAAGGGGCTGTTGTGCCACATAGACCCTTTTTACAGCTGGTCCTTCCCCTCCAAGCTACACTTCAATTATAGCCTGACATTTGCCAGAGGCATATATCTTCTCTGTACATTAACTGCTGGACTCTCAGTTGGTCACTTACACAATACGCATAATTAAATGTGGATCTTTTATTATGATTTGGGATTAGGGAATGTAGTTTTTTGGCATGTATCTCCAATGTACAGCATGCTGTGATCAGTGTGGTACTGCTCAGGAGAACACCCAACCAGTTCTGCCTAGATTGACAGAAGCTTGGGGCCCAGCTTAGTGTCTGCTCTCAGCATAGAAGATTCATCAAAAGCATCCTTAAGAGCAGCTCAAGGCATAGAAGACCAAACTCTCCGGTAGATACAGGGGTGTGCCGTACAAGGATAGACTTTGTAACTGTAATTTTGGGGAACCTGATTCTATCACCCATATTCTCTTTCGCTGTCCTAAATATTTTGCTATGCGCAATGTTTTGATTCGCCCGCTTCTCCCTGTGCAGAGAGATTTTCTGGATAGGGATTTAAATTTCTTTTTAGCAGAAAAGAGTCCAGCAATAACACTATCTGTCACTGAATTTTTGACTTATGTATGGAAGTCAAGAGTAGTACTTTGTGAATCTCGTAAATAATGGGAATATTGGTTGACGTTGTTTTAGTACTATCCCTTAAATTTTGCCTTTGTTCTGGTTATCTGTGTCATGCCAATAAAGGTTTTCTGTTCAGAAGACCAAACAAACGGAAATCAGATAGTGAAGGACATGGAAATTTGATAAAAGAGCAGCTCAAGGCATAGAAGACCAAACAAAGGGGAATCAGATAGTGAAGGACATGGAGATTTGATAGATTTCTTTATCCTTTTGCCCCCACTTCTGCTACAGAGGTTGTTATCATTACAACCCTACAGAAACATCAATCAATCAGAAATAAAACTGAAGGAACCAAATAAGTACAATGCAGCTTTTTTCTTCTGCACCATTTCCCAGAAGACATGGCTTCAGTTTCCAGATGCTTCCTGTGTAACACTGAGCCTTACTTCTCCCATCTGTAGAAGCGGGATATCTGCACTGCCTCACCTCTCAGGTGCAAGAACAATTCCTCCCTATTCATATGGCAGCACTTCCCAAATTGCTGCAATGTGTTAGGAGAAATAAATTAATTGCAGTGTAAAGTCTCTTGTGAGCTCCAAGTACCCACTCAGAGTGGACACTGCTGGCTTCTCCATGTCCAGATACCAGGTCTATCCCCATGGGTATCAATGAATGGTAGACCTGGTGTGTGAACTTGGGGACCAGGCAGGCCCATAGCTACAGTGGGGCGTCTCAGGGCCTGGCCCCCCAACTTACTGCCAAGCCCCCCCCCCAACTTCCCAACCAGCCCAGGCCCCGTGACTTCCAATTTTTTATTTTATTTGTGGTGCTCCCTTGGGGGGGGGGGGTGCAGGGTGCCCCCCGACTTATTTAAAGGGCCCCCGAATTTTAAAATCCTGGCTACGGGCCTGGAACCTGGTCTACCATTACTGTATCTATTGGTGAAGGAGGCCAGCCCACCCAATGCCTGCAAGAGGCCTAGGGTGGTCACAACCTCCCTCCAGTTACTGCCAGACTGGTGCCTGAGGCATGCTCTTTCTCTCTCCCCCTCCTCCCTTGCTGCTCCTGCTGCCTTTGTTTTATGTGAGGAAGTGTGGGAGCCCACAGTTAGCTGGCTGCTGCCATGGGGCTCCAGTTGGCTCGCCCCCCCTTCCCCACCAGCCAGTAAGACCAGAGCCCGTTCGCGGGGAGGGCGGGGTATAAATGCAATAAAATAAATAAATAAATACTTTACATGAAGCAATCTTGAAATTCTGGCATATACATTTTGTGAATTCCGAAATTTTGGAAGTATGTTCTTTCACTTAATGTTGGCAATATCCAAAATAAGAGAGGAAATTTTGTTCATAATGTTGGGTATCTCCTAGTTTACATTCCTAGACTGAACAGCCTATACTGGTCCTGCAAGAATTCATAGCACAAATGCACCTCTTGCATGCATCAATGAACCCCTGTGAAAACCAAATAATACAGTCTCGTCTTTACCCAGGTAAAATCTCTTCAGCTTCTAGGATCTCTATTTCCCCAAGGGCTCACTTTTTCTTTTTTGTTTTTCATGTGCTTAAGGAGTGTGTGAGTTTATATGCCATTTATTTATTTAAAATAGTTGTACCCTGTCTCTTCATATCTCTGAGGCGGCTTGCACCAATAAGAATTCTTGAAGCAATAAAAACTATAAAAGGATAAAAACATCACCAAAATTGAGAAAAATGCAATAAAACAGCATTGAATATAAACTTAGAGCTAGTCAGATTGGCAGGATGTAGTCCCTGAAACATGTACCCATTGGTAGTATAGTCTTTTTTATGTCACAGTAATAAGAATTATGCAAACACTCTAGACTGGTAGCTATATCTGCACTTACAGGTGCTCGATGCACTAGCCAATATGCCTTTTCCTGACAATCCATAGCATACCGGTCCGCCTTCTTTCGTTCTTTTCCTGTCCTGCAAAACCAGAAACATGGTTGCATTTCAACAAATCACAGCACAGGGCAACTTCCCATCCATGGGACTATTTGCACATCTCTGACCCCAGTTCCTACAAGCCAGCAAAACACTTGCCAAGAATTTCATTTTTAATGCTCATGATCAACATTTATTTATTATTTCTTTCACTCAATTTGCTAGGCCACCCTTCCCTGTGATAGGGCTCAGGGAGGCTTACATCAAAAGCTAATACAATATATGAGAAAAATTAGAACAACATTAAAATATATTAAAAACAATTAGTCAAAAAACAATACTATGTCCAAGATGATGGATAATTTCACTATTTCAGGTTTTACCATCCTTGGACACAATTGGACACCATTTCTTTGTTCTCATGCACACATTAGGTTACCAACCTCATGGTGGAGCCTGGATTTTGCCTGAAATTACAGTGTCTCTAGACTACTGAGATGCCCATGGAGGGAAGGCAGGTTCAGCTCTCTAGCCAGGTCCTCTGCCACAAAGGAGCATTGTACCTCTATCAATCAACCCTTATGTGAGTCTATACAACCAACCTTTCAATGTACAAACAGCAGAAGCAGTGCAGTGAAGTGCCTAAAGAGCAATAGCTCTGGAAGATGGAAAAAAACAAACCAAATCCCACCATAGTAGGGACAGGAAGGCACACAAGCCATGATCACTGGCCAATCTGATCAATGGGGTGAAGGGGGCCTCTTTCCCAGTTTGTAATATGGTAATGTTAGGCTTGAGTGGGAGTGGGAACAAAACCCATTCACTGAATAACACCCTTCTCCCTGGGAAAGGCTTCAGTCAACTTAGCTGCCATTTACCCAAACCTGACACAGGTAACAGGAAAGATAGGTCCTATCTCAGGCCCAACACTATTTTTAAAATGCTTGAATTTGTATTTTGGATAAAATGAAGTTGCTGTTTGTTACTTGGCCAAGAAGCCAGGATGACGTAGTGGTTGAAGTATCAGACCAAGTTCTATCAGACTCAAGTTTGAATTCCCACTCTGCCAAGTTTGTTGGATGACCCTGGGCCAGTCACTCTAAACTTAACTATCTCACAGAGTTGTGGTAGTGGGGATGATGAAATGGCAGAGCCCAAGTAATAGCTGATTACTGTTTTATTTAAGATTGTATTTTTCTATTGTGTTTTTATTAATGTAAATAAATATATTAAGTAAGATGAGTTTGATAGGACTGCTATTATCTTCTAATAAAAGTGGTAATGTCTCCATATGATAGATATTTTGGAGCAAAGGAAAAATTAAAAGATTTCTAGGCTCAGAAAAATGATTGCATTCAAAGGTCACATGATACAGGGTGTCTACACTACCTGCACCTCAGTCACATACTCTATCAGAGTATGGTAATCTCTAGATGGTAGGGCATTAAGGCGCACCAACATAAAGACACATCTATAGTGAGGAACGGTCCCGTAATTGGGAAGCTCACCAGGTGGAAGAATACCAACAAACTGAGTAGAACAAACACGTCATGCTCTACAGATTGTTCTGTTATAATCACACTTAATCTGAATCATTCTTATAGCTTCCTGTCGGTTAACTGAGTAAAGGGAATCCAAGGAAAGACTGAGGAATTGTAGTCACTGTTTGACAAGTTTATCCCTGTGGGAAACGTAAGAGTCATCTCTGACTAAACTGAGGTATCCCTCTTGGATGTCAGAATGTATAATTTTAACTTTAAGAGAAGAAGCCTTCATCCAGGCCAGAGCTTAAAGAGACGGCTGTCCCAGTTCATCTCAGACGGCTACCCCCACTACACAATTCAGAATTCTGCAGATGGAATGTAGGAATTTAAGAAGAATTGAATCAAAGGACTCCCCTATTTTGTAAATCCAGATACCAGCCCCATATAAACTTTGTGTAGCCATCTTGGCATTAGGCTTGCCAAGTCCCCCCGGGGGGCGGGGAAACCCCCGCCCCAGAGGCCCGTTCCCTGCCGCCAGCGGATCGGGCCTCAGGGGGAACCCCACCCCGACGTGCACGTCACTCGGAAGTGACACGACCACGCTGGGCACGCTGAGGGCGGGGCCACGGTCATCCGAGGGAAAACTCTATGGTTTTCCCTCGGATGGTCGTGGCCCCGCCCCCAGCGTGGTGGTGTCACTTCCGAGTGATGTTGATGCGTGCACTCCAGCCGCCAGCCGGGAGTCCCCCGCTGCAGCGAAATTCGGACTTGGCAACCCTACTTGGTGTTAAACAGTTTGATAGAGGCTAGGATATACTGAGCCTCTCATGAATAAAAGAAACAACAGATGATATTTGATGCCGCTCCGGCCAATCTTTTAACATGAGAACCTTGCATTGACCAAGTTAATCTCTGGTCAAACCAGACCCCTGAGTATTTAAAATGGGGGAATTTTCCCCTTGTGGTGTACATGAGATTCCCCCCCAAAAAACAATGATCTTGAATGTTTGATAGTTAACTATAAATGAGGTGAGTTTTGAAAGTGGCATTTCCCAGCTCATATGCTTGGCCATTACACTACATTCAAGGTGGTCAACTTCCAACTGGGAAATTCCTGATGATTTAGCGGTAGACCATGGGAAAGGTGGGGTTTGGGGAAGTGAGGGAACTCAGCATGGTACAATGCCATTGAGTCTACCCTTCAAAACAGTCATTTTATCCAGCAGAAGAGATCTCTGTAGTCTGAAGATCAGTCCGAATTCCAGGAGCTCTCCAGACCCCACCCCGAGGCTGGCAACCCTAACTACCTCAGCTCACAAAAGTCCCACTGAGAGTGTCCAGGTGTGGCAACCCTGCACCCACAACTGCCGAGGCTAGCTGAGTTGGAGGACCAGTCAGCACTGAGCCCCTCAGAGGCTAGGGAGGTAGAATCCCCCACTAGCTGCTGTGGGTCTCCTAGAGGCTAGTGAATCTGGCCCACAGCAACAACAGCAGGCAGGTAGGACACCTGGGAAGGCAAGCCAGCCTGCAGTCCCACCATGAGGCCTTGCCATCACTGGCATGCAGAAGGTGGGCCAGTACAACTGGGTCAAGACCAGGAGCAGCCAGACTGGCTAGGATGTTGATGGGGAAGGACTATGGGCCAATCAGGCTGGCAGAGCCGGCCTAGGAGGAAACAGGGCCGGGGGGGAAAGGAGGAGGAGACTCAGGAGGGAAACCCACTGGGAAAGGAGTGCACACCCCTGCAGAGGCTCACCCTAGCTCAGGAGGTATTGGAAGCACCTGCATCCGACCAGCATTTAATAAGCAGGCCAGGATCACATCAGGGAGGAAGAGCCAGACCTCTCCTGCGTAACCAAGGGAGAGGAGGCCAGCTAGAGAGAGAGTGTCCTGAGGTATGGTCAACCTCCTTCCTCTTTGGACCCTGAGACTACCATATGCTCAAGGCCAATGGCAACAAAAAGTGCTTCTGGAGGGCAAGGCAGTCCCAGCCCAGCAGAGGCAGAATTGGACAGGGAGAAACTGCAAGAACACTTTGAAAATGGATTTCAAAATCATGAAGCCTAATAATCAGAGGAAGGTGGAATTGCATTTGCAGATAGCTAATTTATGCCTTTTGAGCAGTCTGTGCAAACTATCACCCATTTGGTTATTTGTACACAGATCTGTAAGTCAGTTTAATTATGCTTCCATGTAAGAGCCAAGATAGATATAATGGGTCAGCTCAAGAAATCACCTTTGTAAAAGTGGGGAGGGGTTAAAATGAGAACCAGTGACTTGCTTACTCCTCTCCCCAACACCCAAGCAACGCAAAGAGAAACAAACAAACAAAAAAAACACCCAAGCAACGCAAAGAGAAACAAAAAAACCCCCCATACATTCAGAAATGTCTCACCTATATTGTTCCTTGGCCTGCATAATAACAAAGTCCCACTTGTGGTTGATTTTTTTGTTCAGCATGTTATATTGTTCCTGGAAAAAGCAACAGCAAGCAAGACACCAGTGAAGGCAGCAGGTTTCCGTTACTGTCAAGGTACAGAATGTGATAAAATGCCCCAGTATACAATTCTGTGTTAAGCATAGATCAGATTCGCAAGATAAGGTATTAACATAAACCACAATGGTCATGAATTTGAAACTGTATGTTATCTGAAGCGCAGCTGCTGCTAAACGTGGTAGCTGTGTGTTGAGTTTCTCTTCTCTAAACTGTAGTCCAACTTACTTTGCACCCTGATGTCATTACACTATATGCAGACAAGAGGCCTGAAACATCATCTTCTGTCCTCCCACCTCAATGTTTTTGTCCCATTGTTAAACAATCTGATATTTTATGCAACTTTTTAATATATATACATCACTGTATGTTTCTATAAGACCACAAGAAGAGTTCCCATTTGGGATCAGACCAAGGGTACATCTAAAACGAGGATTCTGTTTTCAACTGTGGCTGGCTGACTGCCTTTGGAAAGTTCAAAAACAAGGAATGAGGTCAACTATCGTTTTGTCCCCCCTCACTATCAGCTATATGCATGAAGCATCTATCATAAATAGCTATTGCTTGACCTACCCTACATGAAATTGTTTATCTATCTAGTACTGCTCATACAGCTATCATCTTAGGCAGAAATTAGAACCAAAAAAATGCTTTGAGGGAGAAGTGGAAGGAGACCATGTAGGTGCATGCAGCCTCCCCCTGCTTCTCCCCAAAAGGGCCTTGGGAGGAAGTTGGGGGGCTGGGCCCTGGGAGGCCCTCAATGTAGCTACGGGCCTGTTTTATACCTATACCTGATTTGGAACTGGATTCATGGTATTGGTTGTCCAGCACTAGCAACATACATAGACAACAGTTTGCCTGAATTAGTAGAATAGCTTGTTACCTTTTCATATTCTTCTAGGAGTCCTTTCCTTTTAATATTTTTCTTGGCTAGGTAAATTGCTGGGAAAGAAAAAAAAATACACTGTTTGCGTATGCCAAAAAACAAGCTTGTATAATTAATTAGATGATCCCTTTGGCAGAAGAGGCCAGCATGACATTTTCCTATAGAGAGACCCTGCTGTGGGCACACCTAGATTTTTCAGGGTGAGAGGTATACAGGAAGGGGGAAATAGTTTGGTTTTTTATTTGGGTTGAGGGGGTGAATATTTTGCTCCATTCTTATTCCTTACCTATATCTATGGAATGAACTAAGAATATGCTCTTGTTAAAACTGTTTTGTTGACACTCGTGTCTCAGCAACACACCCCCATGGCAGCAAGTACAGAGAAAGGTGAGGCTGGTGAAAGCTGAAATATCTCTGACGGTCTGATCCACAAACCAAATAAAGCCAACACTCTTGGACGTGGGCCCACTTAGTCCCAACATTTCTTAAGATAATGTATAACTTACTTTCTTTTTAAGGCTCAGTATGAGGGAACAACACTCATAAAAATGTTGGCAGAGTTTAAATATGCAAAGCAAGTGGAGCACTGGCTGTTTAAAGAAAAATAAGTAGGTTTATTAAAGAAGAACAAACTTTTATAGAACATTGAGGAGAGACGGAACTTTAACTGTCTAGCCTAACTGCTGTGAGAGGAACAACAACAAGGAAGCTCTGCAGGAGCAGGAAGTCTCCAGAAGAGCCAATCAGGAGGCAGCAAGGCCATAATTTGAAATTGTGGGCAGTCCCTAATCTAGCTATGCTAACTACCAGTCCTTCAGCTGTCCCCCTGTAGGGCGATCTTCAGATCTTCTTCATAAGGCTGCACTACAGACCTTCCATATTCCAACAAAGAATAAGCAATATAAGGTCCGATTCACCCTTACACTTAGGGTGACACTGACCCAAACAGCATAAAACAGACTTCAGACCAGTAACTCACAATTTAAAAGCTAGTAAGATAAAACCTTTAATTAAACTACCACATGTCTCACTGTATAGAAGAAGTGGACCTAGTTCTCTGTGATTCAAAAGGACTGCTTAGGAACACTTAAGACCTTGTGCACACAGCAGAAAAAGTAACGTTACCAAGGTGTTTATATGACAGCTTCCTGCATGCTTCCAAATAGAAGCTCTTGGTGCCAGAACCAATGTTTGAACCAGGCACCACTGCATGTCACCTTGCAGATCACAGTCTCTAGAGTCTGGGGATGTATGATCCAAAGCTGGGGGGCGGTACAGGTAACCCCAGTTTAACTGCATATCTCCTGGGGGCACCCCGCTTTGGAGCAGTTAGCTCAAACCTAGGCTTTGGACTAGGAAACAGCATAGGTCCCCTTGTTGGGTAGAGTCCGCTCCCTTCAAATCGATCCTACAAATGCCTCATGTCTGCCCTGGCATTCACATTCTTTGGGAAACACATGTTTAGGAACCATTTGTTCACTAGTACAATCAGGGCCAAACTACACATGTGAGATATGGGATCAACCCCACCCCCATTTAATAGTAAAAATAAGTATGTGCAGGTGTGCAATTTCAGTAAGGAGCATGGCACTGGGTTGAAGGGGGGGGGGTTACCCCTTCCATCCCACACCATTTTCCTGATAAATAGTACATCCCCTCCAGAGCTGCTTTACTTACGGTAAAGAAAAGAAGAAATGTTCCATTTGGGAATCTGTGGGGGCTTTTTCTAGGGCAGGGGGGGTAGGCTGCAGGCGCTCTGGGCACGAGGGCAGGGGCTATTTCTGGGGCAGGGGGTGGGTCGCAGGCACTCTGGGCACAACGGCAGGGCTTTTTCTGGGGCGGGGAGGTAGGCTGTGGGCGCTCCAGGCGCTGCGGCGGGAGCTTTTTCTGGGGCAGGGGCATAGGCCGCAAGCGTGCTGGGTGCTGCGGTGGGGCCTTTTTCTGGTGCATGGGGGTAGGCAGTGGATGCTCCGACCGCCGCGGTGGGGCCTTTTTCTGGGGCAGGGAGGGTAGGCTGTGGGCACTCCAGGTGCCACGGCGGTGCTTTTTCTGAGGTGGGGGGTAGGCCATGGGTGCTGGCTTCTTCTCGGCAGTCTCTGTGAGGGCAGATCTGCTCATTTCCACCCTCCCCATAGCCAGTAACCCAAAACAGTACAGTGGCACCTTTACTACTGTTTTATTTAT